GAAAGCTTTCAACGAGATTTCTGGAAAAAGTTATAGAAGGTTGAATTTCGTGTTTTAACATGGGAAGAGATGGCATATGAATTAGTGGAGTGAGTCCATCAATTACAGTTTATATTGTCATAAAGTGATATAACTCAATTTTATCAAACAATTACAGTTTATATTGTAATAATGTAATAATGGGAGATAACTCAATTTTATATATCAATTACAGTTTATATTGTAATAATGGGAGATAATTCAATTTTATATCAATTACAGTTTATATTGTAACAATTTCATATATCAATTACAGTTTATATTGTAATAATGGGAAATTACTCAATTTTTTATATCAATTACAGTTGATATATTGTAATAAAGGGAGGCAACTCAATTTTTGTAAATATCAATTACAGTTTATATTGTAATAATGGGAGATAACTCAATTTTATATCAATTACAGTTTATATTGTAACAATTTCATATATCAATTACAGTTTATATTGTAATAATGGGAAATTACTCAATTTTTTATATCAATTACAGTTTATATATTGTAATAAAGGGAGGCAACTCAATTTTTGTAAATATCAATTACAGTTTATGGACTCACTCCACTAAAACATTTTATGCAAATGATTGTATAGGAATGTAGTCCAGGCTATTTTTAGAAATCTTCTTTCTCTCTCCCTTTTGGGGTTTTTGCCTGCCTATTTTTGGGTAAAATTTGGTCTAGATTTGGAATTTGATGTCTGAAATTGCATTATCTTTCAGATTTGGTGAGATGATGAGAGACTTAAAGGCGGAAGGCTAATTCTAAAAATAGTCGTTTTGTGAAGTGCCAAACTCTAGGGATGAGTATAACCGGTAGTAGTCTACTTTCAATTTTAGTAGCTCAAAATTTTCATGGTCATCATATAATGAATTTTTTAGGAGACATTGAGAATTGGTCAGGCTTTCATTCGACATGTTGGAAAGCTTTCAACGAGATTTCTGGAAAAAGTTATAGAAGGTTGAATTTCGTGTTTTAACATGGGAAGAGATGGCAAATGAATTAGTGGAGTGAGTCCTGTCTGGTAAGGTCATTTATTTTTTAAAATTGATATTTTTCAAAAAGTTGTGAATGATTTTGTATGAAATTTTCAGAATAGGTAGAATAAAGACTAAATTACTTTTTATGGCTACATTTGCATATTTTTTTGTCCAAAATTTGAATTTTGGCCACTTTTATTGAAAAACGCCATTTCAGCCAAATTTCGACCTGTCAACTTTGCAGCAATGTATCAAAATTGTAATTATTTGTTTTTCTTCACATGTTTTCACACAAAATGGATGCCTTTAACACATGCATTAGTGCCAGGCTGCAAAATTCATCTTTTTTGGCTATAAATTCCTCTTGCAGGATATGGCAGGGGGCTTAATTTTTGTCATCAAATGGGAAGTATGGGGTAATATCTATTCAATGTCCCATCAGTCATAGAAGAAAGACCATGAATGTGCATAGATTGGCTTTCATGTTTATGAATATTTTGTAATGCCAAAACGAGTGAGGGGGGGGGGAGGTAGGGTTAGGGTTAGTTTAGTGCTGGCTTTGACAGTTCTGTTGCCAGATTGTAGAGTTGTAGTATAAAAGAGAACACGTTATTATGAAAAAGACTGAATTTTCTTTTCTTTTTTATTTCAAGGCAAATTATACATTTAAATATCATTTCGAATGTGAATAAGAATGATCATCATCCAACTGCTGCAAAGTACTAGGTAAAATTTTGTCTAATTGTCCTTTTCTGTACCCACTGTATTGAATTTTTTATATTTTGCAAATTCATGGATATTTCTTCCTCGAGCGAGAAGCTTTCTTCTCTTAACTTCTGGTCTTGTTTCATAATCTCTATGGAACACTGATTTTTTCTGAATACTGCTTAGTGCTTGTAAACACTTAGGGGACAATTTTGCCCCTAAAAACTCTGCTTTTGTCTGTGTTGCCTCCTTTATCCCAATATTTGATCGAAGAATAGTTGATGATAGCCGCCCCATAGCATTTCTTCCATAATTGACACTCTTTGGAAGCGAAATGTTTATGGATCGATTTATTGACTCAGTCTTATAACGGGTTTTGTCAATGGCTTCCTCACTTAATCTTATTTTTAAAAGTTCATTTAACAGAAACTTATCATTGTCATTCATTTCCAGGCTCGTTAAGTTGTTTGAAGCCAGAAACATGGATCGATTCCACCAGTTGTTGCTGTGACCGCCACTACAGACCACAGAGTTGGAACGGCACTTGGAACAGTCTCCATCGTAGCACATAACAGTTGCTTGTAGTATTTTCGGTAGCTGTTTTTTCAGTTTGTCCACATCTCCGCAGTAAGTAGAGTACATCTCTTTGATCACAAGGCTACACCTAGATTTTATGTCCTGGCTCAAAGTTTTCTTTTGATTTGTTTTTTCAACTTTTGTTTTGCCTCTGAACATTCCGTCGAGAAAATTAGCCTTAAAACATTGGCGAAACTGAGATGCACTAAGATGGGCTGGGTCAGCTAGTCTTTCAACTTTCCACATAGGATGTAAAGTTCTCATTGCCTCTTCAATTCCGGTAGCTGACGTTGAATCTCCGTCTGTTGTGGCAAACATGATGAGCATCCCTTGAATAGATAAATCTTCACCAATTATTCTCCCCATTTCTCTCTCAGTTAAAGGTGCATGTCTTGTCAGATTTGCTGTGCATCCCTCGTGTCCTGGACAGTTGACAGTAATGCCTGTGTTTCTTAGCCACGCTCCAGTCCAACAAAGTTTATTTTGCAACACAGCACTTATGATATATTTCTTATCTGTGTTTGTCTCACAAGCAATGCCGATTGATTGAGATGCTCCTTGTCCGGGTTTCTTTCTGTGTCCTATGGTCAGACAATTGTACCGGCCATCCAAAGCCACATTTATCACGTTAGGGTTGGAGGCACCTCTTCGTCTATTGACATTTTTTCACCTCTTCCACCTTAGTTCTCATGCTTTCATTGTTCAAGTCAGTTGTCTTTGAACTCACATAACTGGATAACTTGGACATACCACTTTCAGCTGGTGGGGGAATGTCTAAATCTGCCAGTAGAAGCCTAGTCATTGAATTGCCTAAAGGCATGTCTAGCAATCCAGCTTGTAAGTTGATGTTTACTGCAGCCGCTTTCCTACCTCTTTTGCCAGTCGTGATTTCCTTGTA